CGTAAATATTTCTGATGTGAATACCCAAACCGAACTTTAGTGCGCCATTCTAGACTGCTTTATTAAAACACTTATTTTACCAGACCAGCACTGGTAAAAGAAACTCTTTATACTTATCTATAAGCATAAATTTCAATGTTAACTTAGCCTGTTGTTTTCCAGATAGTTAATAAAAATGTGGTTCTGGGCACACCAAAGGCACTGCCAAACCGAATAGGGGCACAGGAATCAAACACAGGAGGGCAGAGGACGCGAAAAGACAACTTTAAAATCCAGAGCTGGGTCCAAAGAAAAAATAAAACTACATTAAGAGTGAAAATAAAGTCATGCTACTAAATGTTACCTGACCAGATGCGCCAGCACAGTTTGTTAAAAATACTCCATCGCAGCAGGCTTTACTGATTTATACAGAGCGACTGTAGTTAGCCGGCCAGCTCGTTTCCTGCATTAATTTAAAGTGTAGCTATCACTAGATCTCACGTGAAATCACTGAAGGTTTGCCAGGTGTGAATACCTACCTGCTCTACAGCCACACAATCACAAGCACACGCATACTGTTCACCGATGTCGGTGGGAATATAAGGTGTCTTTGAAGGTTTCCTCTAAGGTAATAGCTACAATTTAAATCTTGCTTTGGAAGTTAATGAAAGACAAGTTCTTTGATCTCAGTAGAGAGTGGGACTGATGAAAAATGCTGAAAATATAATAATGTCCTGGCAAGAAGACTACGAAACCCTGGCCTCATTTGGGGGCATTCTTACATACCTTCAGCAGTCAAGTCTCATCCAACAGCGTTCCTGATAAACTTGCTGTGTGCCTAGACTGTCACAAATTCCCCCCAAATTCAGAGTCCTGATGATGGCTTTTTTGCACTCCCATTCGCTTCCAAGGGAAATGCATCTCTGCTTTCATCACATCTGACGCTGCCCGAAAGGAGGGTTGGCTTCCACACATTTTTGAGGAAAGAAACTACATTTATATAATTTATCATGTCGTTCTCCGTCCATATACAAAGTACACAGGCAGAGTAGAAAGAGTGGTCCCAACTTTTCCACAAACACAGTTTCAGTGCTTTGAGCAGAGGTAAAGTTGATATTATGGCTCTTGAATAAAGGATTTATAGCTTTTTACACTTCCCCAAAGTGGAAGTGGAGGTGCCCAGTATCTCCTTTCCTACAGCCTTCCGACTACTCTAACAACTCGTATTTGCACATCATAGCTTCCAACTGAGACTTCACAAGGAGGCATTTGACACCTGACCTTTAAAAACCTTTTAGGGCTGTAAAATGTACCGTTGCAAATGAAAGCGCTTCAATTGTCCTACTGTCTTTGAGAAACTATGATCAACCGGGACGTATACGGTGAATGGTGGCGGTGGTGTTTACATTCCCACAGAACCAAAGGCAGTGGTGCTTCCAGGTTTCGCACACCAAGTTCCTGACGGAGTCAGGTGTCTGATGGTAGGGA